CCCTTGTGTGTGTGGATATATCTCTTTTTTGGGATTGAGAACAAGGTGCTATTCTACTCATGGGGTCTGGGAGTTTGAATGGTCCCCAGGATCCATGTAATCCAGGGATTGGCAACTGTGGAAGACTGTGGTCACATTACCCCTGCAGGATTTTTTTTGCCGGCCATGTCTTCCCTGCACTTGCTCCAGCAAAATAATAATAATAATATATGCAATTGTCTATTGAACCTAGCCAAAATTAAATAGCAGTTAATCATGGACTAACTGGCTGAAGAATGAAATATTTTACCTAATGAGGTTTTACCTTTTCACCTGGATTCCAGTCAATTTTTGTTATGGAAATTAGTGAAGCACATGCAATCACTGCAGAATGAAAGATTAAGGAGGCAATAACTGAGTTTTAAAAAATGAATAATAAAATGTACTATGCTACCCATGTCCCACAAATTGCACACTTTTGCTATACACCTTTAACAAGTAAACCAAGGATAGGGAAAATGCAGCCGTGGGACCACATGCAACCCTGCTCTCTGTTGCTACAAAAACAGTGATGCTTTTGCAATCATTGACCACTTTTAACTTCCCTGATAGTCATTTCTTGCCCAAACAAGCATGACTGGAAACTTCCAGGACTGGTTATTTAACTTCTAAATGCATAGATTGAGGGGAGTCCTGCAAAAAAAAAAAAACAAACCCAATAACACAATTTCACAAAGCCAAAAGATCAATTCTGGTCCCTTCTGTTCTTGATTTTCTCATTTTGGACTGTCTGCCCAGTCCTTGAGGGTCTTGGCCCTCAGATCTGTCACTGTTGCCATGTTTCTACTGCAACTAAATCTGTGATGGAAACAAACTGAAAGAGCTGATACCTCAGAATAAGCCATCAAATAGCTGAGATCCTAATTTGGAATGCTCATATTATTCAGATATTATGACTGTATTCCTAGGCTTGTGCAACATGTTGACTGAAGTGAGATAAACATGTTACTTTATTTACATAGAAAGTTATTACAAGACCTGGAAATATTAAGATGTTTTGGGCTGGCCTTTAGCACAGCTGGTTAATTACCAGCAGCAATACATCTTACCAATCAAAAGGTTGGCAGTTCGAAGCCTGGAAAGGTTGAGCACCTGACCTTCAGCCTAGCTTACTGTCCACCTAAGCAGCTCGAAAACAGCTGTGAGCTGTGAGTAGAGAAATTAGGCACAGCTTAAGCAATGAGGTGTTTTACGGCACCATAAAAGAAATACCAGAAAAATGCCAGCTATCAAAAGAAGGAGGAAGTCTGTGACCAAAGCTCTTCGTCATAGAGGATGGAACAACAGCACTCCCTGTGCCTGGAATTGGGCACAACCTCCAGGATGCTGAAGTTGGGGGGGGGGGTGCCAACAAAATACCTCTATCAGCTGTCTGTCCTGTCTGTTTAACGGTATTGAATGTTTCTTGTGTATGTGTTCTGTGATCCGCCCTGAGTCCCCTTTGGGGTGAGAAGGGCAGGATATAAATGCTGTAAATAAATAAATACATACATAAATAAATAAATAAATTTTAGATACCTAAGTCACATCTTTGGATTACAGTGACCTGAAGCCCCAACCAAATGTCCAGTTGGTATATTTAGAAATGTCCCAAAAAGGATACTGGGGAGGATAGCGACTGCAGTAATTATAGAGAGGAACAGCCTTATGAGGCATATACACTGAGTACTCCACTGCGGGTACGATTTGTAAGAGATGAATGTTTGAAACATAATGTAGAAAGTACCAAAGAGAAATGCCACAAGGGCTCCTCCATCGTGTACAGCAGGGACTGTGAGCTCCTGCAAAGAGAATTGAGAAGACAATTGAGAAGGCCTTATTGAAGATTTCAGTTGCATTAATATACACATAAACATATAAGAAGACTACCAAAAGCAGAAAAACAGGTACAGGGTTAGATCAAAAAGATTCTGTAATTATGGCTTGCTCAAAATTTTAATCTTCGAATTATAAAGGATCAATTCCCTGAGGTATTTGGCCAACCAAGATTGTCATTATTATTATTTTTTTAAAGTTAGCCTATTGGGTTTTGGAAAAGCAAACATCAGTCTAAAAAAGCTGCTCCAACAAATGGGCATGGTTTGGATCATTAGCATTGCTTGCTGTTTAGGGCAATATGTTAATAATAGTACCAAGAGGCTGTAATCTCAACCAAAATAATACCAGAGAACCTGGAATCTCAGAACAGTTTATTACGCTTGCTCAATGTACTGAAGGAGGGAGTACTTCCACTGAGTAGAAGCTGACTAATGGGTTCTTTCCTATTGAGCATGACTTTAAAAAATTCAAGCAAACTCATTATTCACATCATCCTGGACTAAGGAATTATTCTAGGCAAATCCTGGTAAACACAAGTGCAACAAGATTATGTTGTGATGACATTTTTAATGCCATCCCTAATCCCCAATACTAGGAGAGGTGGTTTCATTTTCCTGTAATTTGCTATGACTTTCATCTGTTTCC